GGCTTGAGCACGTATTTCACAAAAGAAAGTAGCCAAGTGGTTAACACACATGAAAATAAATATGAAAATGGGTTCACGTTCATTTGTGCATCAGGAAAACGCAAATTATAGCCATAATGTGATGCCCCAATACAGTTATCAGGTGGTTAAATTGAAAAGATATACAACGGCAAGTGTTGGCAGGGATGTGTACCAACTAGAACTCCCGTCGTGGTGGGAGTATGATTGGTTCAGCCAAGTTGGAAAACTGACGGTATCTACTAAAGATGATCAATTACATGCCTTGTAGTCTACCATTCCCCCAGGAACTCAACAACAAACAATATGGACATATACACTCAACATACAACTCAATATGCACTCAACAACAAACAATATGGACATATTTCACTGTAAGACATGTTCCAGGGATGTTTACAGCAGTGCAATTTTTACTAGTTAAATAGTGGAAACAACCAAATGTCCATCAAAATTAGGATGAATAAATGGCTTCTGGAATGTTCATAGAAGGGAATGCTGCACAGCGATGAGAATAATAAACTATTGTGGTATGTAACAACATGGAAGAATCTACAAGTGTTCCACTGAGCTTAAGCCAGATACAAAGGAGAGTTTTCTGAATGATTTCAGTTCTTAAAAACTTTTTAAAAGCAAAAGAAATTGGTAGAAGTCAGGATCACGGTTACCTTTTTGGGATAAAGCATGACGGGAACCCAAATGTGGAAACAAACTCTTTTCTTAGCCTTTGAGTCATACTTTCTCACCTGGGATGAGGCTGCTACCTCAGGTTCTATCTGTGTAGGGCTATCATTTGGGTTCTTATAGGCTGGTCAAAAGGACCAATATTAAAATTGTTGTTGTACTCATCATTCTTTAACCAAGGATTAAACCCCTTCTTTCTTCATCTTCAACTAAAACAATTAAATAATATATGCACATATCAACATCTGGGTCATCAAACATGGCCAGATGTTTCTGAACTTTAGCTTGCTCTTAAGCCAACAACTACCTTATCTATCGACAATCTGTATCCAGAGAATACTGCCTAGTCATTACACAAGTTATTCTCATGTCTGGGGAGAACAAAACATCCCTTAGCTTATTCCCACCTCAAGGAAGGACTCATGGTGGGATTACCTGGCTCATAACTATTTTTCTAGTTATATGCATGCTGGATCCTTCTGTCCCCAGCACACATGTTACCCATTTGGAAAGAGCTCTCCTGACCACCTTATCTTAAGAATTTGCAGAGCCCAAGTCTGAGGAAGGCCATTTTGAGAAGGCAGGCCAGCAACCAGATGGCAGGCTAACCAACCATGGTACTGGCTACCGAGTCAGAAATAACCCTGTCCTCCTGTGGACTCAGCTACAGCCCCATCTGACCGTGATCTTGTTACCAGCACCATGTCAAAGGACCTGGGATGAGTCACACCTGCCTTTGCCTCAGGTAACAGGCCCATGGGCCTTGCTCCAATCCCTCTCAGCCATGGTTCAGAAGCAGTCCTGCCCACACAAGAAACCCAGCAGGAGACCTCTACACACGCCCCTGGAGGGCATAACTATAAAAAAAAAAAAAAAGCAATTAATCAATAAATCCCACTTACAAAATAATCAAAAATAATAAAATACTTAAGAATAAATCTATCCAAAGAAGTGAAAGACCTGTACACTGAAAACTATAAAACACTGAGGAAAGAAATTGAAGAAGACACAAATAAATAGAAAATAAATACCTTGTGTTCATGGATTGGAAGAATTAATATTGTAAGGTGTCCATACTACCAAAGCAATCTACAGATTAAATGTAATCCTTATTAAGATTCCAATGGCTTTTTTCATAGAAATAGAGAAAATAATCCTAAAATTCATATGGAACCACAAAAATCTCCAATGAGCCCAAGCCATCTTGAGAAAGAATAAAGCTGAAAGCGTCACATTTCTTGACACAGTGGGAAAAGGCTAGTCTCTTCAATAATGTTACTTGGAAAACTGGGTATCTACATGCATCAAAATAAAATTGGATACTTATCTTATACCATACCAAAAAACATCAACTCAAAACTGATTAATGACTTAAACAGAAGACCTAAAACCATAAAGCTCCGATCAAAAAACATAGGGAAAATCTTCATGACATTGGAAATGATTTTGTGGATTAAAAAAAAAAATTTTTTTTAATGCTTATTTATTTTTGAGAGAGGAAGACAGAAAATCCCAAGCAGGCTCCAGATTCTGAGCTGTCAGCACAGAGCCTGATGCAGGGCTCGAACTCATGAATGGTGAGATCATGACCTGAGCTGAACTCAGGCACTTAACTGACTGAGCCACGCAGGCAACCCTGAATTTTTGGGTTTGACTCCAAAAGCACAGGCAACAAAAGTAAAAGTAAGTAGACCACATCAAACTAAAATGTCTCTGCACAACAGAATGAAGAGGCAACCTCCAGAAGGAGAGAAAATATTTGAAAACTACACATCTGATAAGAAGTTAATATCCAAAATATGTAAAGAACTCATACAGCTCGGTAGCAAAAAATCCAAATAATCCATTTAAATAATGGGCAAAGGACCTGAGCTGACATTTTCCCAAAGATGACATGCAATGGTCCATAGTTATATGAAGAGGTATACAACATCACTAATCATCAGGGAAATGTAAATCAAAACCACAATGAAATATTCATTCAATCTGTTAGGATGGCTATTACACCAAAGACAAGACAGAGAACAAGTGTTTACAAGGACGTAAAGAAAGGGGGTTGCTGGTACACTGCTGGTGGAGTGTGAATCAATACAACCATCATGAAGAACAGTACAGAAGCTCCCCAAAAAGTTAAAAATGAGGCTATCTTATGATCCAGCAATTCTTCCGGGTATATATCTGAAGGAAATGAAAACAGTATCTTGAAGGGATATCTGAAGTCCCTTGATCACTGCAGCATTATTCGCAATAGCCAAGATACGGAAACTACCTAACTGTTTGCCAGTGGATGAATGGATAAAGAAAATTTGGTATCTAAATATCACATGTACATATACAAGTACACGCATTTACAGTGGAATATTATCCAGTGTTAGAAAGAAGGAAATCCTCCCACTTTGGAAACTTGGATAAACCTGGAGGACGTTACGCTAAGTGAAACAAGCCAGACATAGAAAACAAATCCTCTATGATCTCATTTATATGGTGAATCTAAATTAGCTGAACTCACAGAAAAGAGCAGAAAGGCGTTTGCCAGGGTTTGGAGGAGAAGGTAGGTATGAAATGGAGAGACGTTGGTCAAAGGGTACGAACTTTCAGTTATGAGATGATTAAATTCTGGTGATCTAACATACAACATGGTGACTGTTATTATTAATACTTTATTTTATACTTGAAATTTGCTAAGAGAACTTTATCGTGTACTTGAAATTTGCTAAGACAGTAGATCTTAAGTGCTCTTATCTAGAAAAAAGATAACTATTTGAGGTGATAAGCGTGTTAAATTAACTAGATTGTGTGTTCATATATCAAATCACCACATTATATGCCTTAAATATAAGGAAATTTTATTTGTAAAAAAATTTAAGGTAAATAAATAAAAGGACCCTTCTGGTGGCGAGGAAAGAAAGAATATACATGGCTTAGGGCAGGTAGAAGTACTGTTTAGGTGTTACTTACAGAGAAGCATGTTTGTTTGGCAAGAAGCTTCTCAGCAAAAGGGGAAGCCCATTTTTAAAAAGGGCAAGGGGGTGCCTGGGTGGCTCATTCGGCTGAGTGTTTGAGTCTTGATTTCAGCTCAGGTCATGACCTAAGGGTTCATGGGATTGAGCCCTGCATCGGGCCCTGCACTGATAGCATGGAGCCTGCTTGAGTTCTCTTTCTCTCTCCCTCTCTCTCTCAACGTAAATAAACATTAAAAAAAAAAAGAGAGAGAGGGAGAAAAAAAAGGGTGAGAAACATTAATTTCAAAGAACACAAGTTGCTTGTGAGGTCCATGGTGGGAATGGAAAGGGAGAGTTTGAGGTGAACAGGGATGATCACAAAGGAAGTATAGAATGGTGTAATCATCATACAGCTTTTGAAGAGTTTGAAAGGAAAAATAAAAATTTCAGATTTGGGTTTTAGAAATGATCCACTGGCAACTATATGGAAACAATGGAGGGAGTCAAAGGGATGATGGGAGACCAAAAGACAAGTGGGATATAAGCGTTATAGTATGTGTATTAATACTTCAAAGTATGTGTATGTGTATGTATGTTGTATTAATACGACAAAGTATCACAGGCTGAGTGGCTTAAACAACAGACATTTATTTTCTCACAATTCTGGAAGCTAAAAAGTCCACGGTCAAGGTGTCAGCAGAGTTGATTTCCTCTGAGGCCTTGTTCCTTGGCCTGTAGATGGCTATCTTCTCCCTGTGTCTTCACGTGGTTTTTCTTCTGTGTCCTCACCTCCTCTTCTTATAAGAATGCCAGTCATATTGGATTAGGGTTCAGCCTAATGATTTCATCTTTATTTAATTGCTTCTTTAAATTTAGACTCTGTCTCCAAATGTGGTCATGTTCTGAGATACTGGGGATTAAGACTTGACTATATGAATTTGAGGGGACACAGTCAGCCAATAACAATGGGCAAGAAAAGATGATGGCTGAATGGGAATAGCAGAGGCCGGGATGGAAAACAGGTGCTATGGAGGCAGCCTTGGAAGGTCTTTGTAGCCGACGTGATGTGTAGGGGGCAGTGAGGAACAAGAAGATAACTAAGATATATTTTAGGATTATGGTTTGAATACTTAGGTTGAGGCCAATTTCCTGTTTCTCCGTCTTGTCATCCTCCATGCCTTTGCTTTCTAAAGTGGAATCTGAAGTCATGGATCCAGAGAGTGGATTTTTACCATAATGTGAAGAATAAAGAAGGCTTTGGGAGTTGAAAGGCTTACGGAGTTTATTACCTAGTCCAACACTTTCATTTTGGGAGTGGGCAAAAGGAGGCTCAGAGTAGTAAGGGGATAGATCCAGTCACATCCTATTAGTGCATCTGAATTTCCGCTGCACCCTTTTCACTTCTTTGGGACTATGGTCTGGAGGCATGTGGATACAACCCTCTGACACCTGCGTCCGTATGTAGGCATAATTTCTCTAGCCAAAAACGCAGAAAAACGTGTACAAGAACAGGTGGCTTCTAAGGCTTTTCTGCAGCCGTTGGCGTGGTCTGGGTTAAAGTTTAAATATTATTTGGCATCTCTGTGCCTAAGTAAGCGGAGATCCAGTCTCAGATCCACTCTCCAGCTATCCTAAGGACCTCTTCTGAGGTTTGGGATGGTAGATGGTTGGAGGGAAATGAGGAAAATGATGTGAAAGTCCTTTGAGAAAGGCATTGAATGGTTAGAATCTGCCATGATGGTGAGGATTGCTGCACACTGTCTCCAGACTGTGTTCTCCAGATTATTACGTCAACAGAGGCAAGGGATAATTTTCCTCTTTAGACCTGACTGGCATTGGCCTCTGAACTAAGACTGCTAAGTGGGAACAACTCCTTCCTTAACTGCAACTCGGGATCATTTCTATTTGTGCCTGGATATGCAAGTTAGGGCTGGATTTGTTACACATTTTAACCACAAGGAGGCTCACAAGTCCTTGCCTTCCGCCACACCTTCCACATTAAAGAGGTTGGTTCTGGGTGCTGCAGTAATGATTTTCCACTGGGAAGAAGCATAATGTCTAAACTCGGGCATCATGGGTTCAAAATCCTGCTACTGAACTATTAGCTCAGTGGTCAACGGTACCTGGGGCAAGTCGCTTAAACTCTCCGTGACTTGGTTTCCTCTTCTGGCAAAGAGACATAAAACTACACTGTTAACCTCATGGAGCTAGCTGTTAGGACAAAAGGAGACTATGTATGTAACATGCTTAGGACAAGGCCTTGCACCCATAAGTTCTCAGTAAATGTTGAGGATTTGGGGGGTTGTTTTTTTGGTTTGGGGGTACTGGTTGTTTGTGTGTGTGTGTGTTTTGTTTTGTTTTACTATTTTCCCCTTTCATTTGGGTAGGGTGGCAATGGTTGTTTCCCAGTCAGAGGGCACGCCAATCTTTGGAAAGCCAAGTGCGATTAGGGAACTGGGGTAAGGGATAAATTCCAAGAGTGAGCCCATGAGGCAGAATCTTGGGCTAAACCTTGAGCTAAAGAGGCAAAAGAAGACCTCTGGACCAAACACACTGACCTACCTCAAGAGTCTAGGATGAGGTGTTAGATAAGAATGTGTGGCTAAGATGGAAGTTGCGTTAGCCTGGAAAACTTGCATGTTGAGGGACCTAGCAGCGCCTGGTCAGAGGCTTAGGAATTCAGAATCTAGATCCTATAAAACTGTCTTGCAGTGAGAACCAGTAATATCAGTCAAACCCTGGGACAACCTAGAGATATCAGGCTACAGAGGACTAGAGAGGCAGGACGGAAAGAGAGCTAGAATGAGCATATTTTCTTTAATGGATTATGTGAAGACCCAGCAGGTGTCTAAGGAGCTAGGGACCATGTAGGTCCTTTACTGACTCATTATTCTGGCTGTTAAAAGTCTTACGTCAAGAGTTGGTGGATGTTGAGTTGTTCTTGCCTTAAACTGACATCTTATCTGTTGTTTCTCATAAGGGTTTAAGGATATGTGCTTTCCATCAGGGATGCAGCAAATTCTTTTTGGCCCACATTTTTCTTTCTTCTTCTCATTTTCTTTGCAAGATTGCCTGCATCTGCCAATTCTATAACTGCACCTTTTGACCCATCCATCTATCAAAATAAACAAAAAGATGAATAAACAAAATACATGAAAAAGAGTAGAGACTATTCGACTACAGATGTTAGTATTATAGTAATAATGGTTAGAATGAACTACCGAAATGTAATGGCATTCTTGGGAAAATTAAGTCCGTCCATGTAGAAATGCTTAATACTGGTCGCGACATGTACAAGATAAGAGTAGTTATCGGGGTGCCTGGGTGCTACCGTGGCTCGCAGTTAGGTCCGATTCCAGCAGGTTGATCTCGTGAGTTCCGAAGTCCCGCTCAGGCTCTGGGCTGATGGCTCGGAGCCTGAAGCCTGTTTCCGATTCCTGTGTCTCCTCTCTCTCGCCCTCCCCACATTCATTCTTCTCTCTGTCCCAAAAATAAATAAAAACGTTGAAAAAAAAAATTAAAAAAAAAAAAAGAGTAGTTATCTCCCTTCCTTCAACCAGCTCTAACTGGACTTTATTTCTGTACTTGTGATGTTTTCACCTGTCGTTTTTCAGTCTCACCAACACTCGTTCCTCCTTGTCCCCAAATCTACGTGCCTGCCAAGGAACGGACCTATACCTTTAATTTCCTGTTTTTGCCCCACTCTGTTCATTATTCACTCAACAGTGCTTTGTTGAACACCAGAACCCAGGCAACCCCCACAATTTTTTGAGTTTGACTCCAAAAGCTGGGCAACAAAAGTAAAAGTAGTATCAAACTAAATGTCTCTGCACAACAGAATGAAACTATCAGAAGGAGAGAAAATATTTGAAAACTATACATCTGATAAAAGTTAATATCCAAAATATATAAGAACTCCCTTTTCCTTTCGGTAGCAAAAAATCCAAATAATCCATTTAAATAATGGGCAAGGACCTGAGCTGACATTTCCCCGAATGACATGCAATGGTCCCATGATATATGAAAGTTTAACCCTGATCACTAATCATCAGGAAATGTAAATCAAATACAATAGAAATATTCATTCAATCTGTTGGGATTAGCTGTACACAAAAGACAAGACAGAGAGAACAAGTGTTTTAAGGACGCAAAAGAAAGGGGTTGCTGGTACCTGCTGGTGGGTGTGAATCAATACAACCATCATGAAGACAATTTTAGAAGCTCCCCAAAAAGTTAAAAATAGAGGCTATCTTATGAACAATTCTTCGGGTATATATCTGAAGGAAATGAAATGTATCTTGAAGAGGGATATCTGAAGTCCCTTGATCACTGCAGCATTATTACTTAATAGCCAAGAATCTGAAACTACCTAACTTTGTTTGCCAGTGGATGAATGGATAAAAGAAATTTGGTATCTAAATATCATGTACATATACAATTGCGCATTTACAGTGGAATATTATCCAGTGTTAGAAAAATCTCCACTTTGGAAACATGGATAAACCTGGAGGGCGTTACGTAAGTGAAACAAACAGACATAGAAAACAAATCCTCTATGATCTCATTTATGGTGAATCTAAATTAGCTGAACTCACAGAAAAGAGCAGAAAGAAGGCGTTTGCCAGGGTTTGGAGAGGAGAAGGTATGGCATGAAATGGAGAGACTTTGGTCAAGGAATTACAGAACTTTCAGTTAAAGCAAGGATGGTCTGGAAATTCTGGTGATCTAACATAACATAGGTGACTGTTATTATTAATACTTTATTTTATACTTGCTAAGAGAACTTTATAAGTGTGCTTGATTTGCTAAGACAGTAGATCTTAAGTGCTCTTATCTGAAAAAGATAACTATTTGAGGTGATAAAGCGTGTTAAATTAACTAGATTGTGTGTTCATATATCAAATCACCACATTATATGCTTAAATATAAGGAAATTTTATTTGTAAAAAATTTGGAATTAAATAAATAAAGGACCCTTCTGGTGGCGGGGAAAGAAATATACATGGCTTAGGGCGGGTAGAGAAGTACTGTTTGGTGTTACTTACAGAAACATGTTTTGTTTGTAGAAGCTTCTCAGCAAGAGAGGAAGCCATTTTTAAAAATTTAGGGGTACCCTGGGTGAAAGCTCGATGGCTGAGTGTTTCGTCTTGATTTCAGCTCGGTCATGACCTAAGGTTCTAGGATTGAGCCACCTGCATGAGACCCTGCACTGATAGCATGGAGCCTGCTTGAGTTCTCTTTCTCTCTCCCTCTCTCTCTCAAAAAGTAAATAAACATTAAAAAAAAAAGAGAGAGGGGAGAAAAAAAAGAGTGAAAACATTAATTTCAAGAGAAGTTTCCTAAGTTGCTTGTAGTCCATGGTGGGAATGGAAGGAGGTTTGAGGTGAACAGGATGATGAAAGGAGAGTATAGAATGGAGTTGTAATCATCATGCAGCAGGAAGAGTTTGAAAGGGAAAATAAAATTTCAGATTTGGGTTTTAGAAATGATCCACACTGGCAACTATATGGAAACAATGGGAGAGTCAAAGGGATGATGGGAGACCAAAAGAATAAGCGTTATAGTATGTGTATTAATACTTCAAAGAGTAGCAATGACTATGTGTATGTATGTTGTATTAATACGACAAAGTATCACAGGCTGAGTGGCTTAGAAAAGCAACAGACATTTTATTTTCTCACAATTCTAAAACAAAAGTCCACGATCAAATTGTCCAGCAAGTTGATTTCCTCTGAGGCCTTGTTCCTTGACCTGTAGATGACTATCTTCTCCTGTGTGTCTTCCATTAGTTTCTTCTAATATTCCTCACACCTCCTCTTCTTATAAGAATTACCAGTCATATTGGATTAGGGTTCAGCCCTAATGATTTCATCTTTATTTAATTGCTTCTTTAAATTTTAGACTCTGTCTCCAAAATGTGGTCATGTTCATCTGAGATATACTGAGAGTTAGACTTGACTATGAATTTGGCCTGATCAGCCAATAACAATAGACGAAAGAAAAGATGATGGCTGAATAGAATAGCAGAGAGGCCGGGATGGAAAACGAGGTGCTATGGAGGCAGCCTTGGAAGGTCTTTGTAGCCGACGTGATGTGTGGGGGGGGCAGTGAGGAACAAGAAGATAACTTCTGGGTATATTTTGAGATTATGATTTGAATACTTAGGTTGAGGCCAATTTCCTGTTTCTCCATTCTTGTCATCCTCCATGCCTTTGCTTTCTAAAAGTGGAATCGTCATGGATCCAGAGAGAGTGGATTTTTACCATAATGAAGAGTAAAGAAGGCTTTGGGAGTTGAACGGCGGCTTGCAGGTTTATTACCCTGTGAATCCAGCACTTTCATTTTGGGAGTGGAAGGAAGCTCAAAGTAAGTAAGGGATAGATCCAGTCACATCCTATATTAAGTGCATCGAATTTCCATGCACCCTTTTCACTTCTTTGGGACTATGGTCTGGAGGCATGTGGACCCTGACTGACACCTGCGTCCATATGTGGTATAATTTCTCTAGCCAAAACGCAGAAAAACGTGTACAAGAACAATTGGCTTCTAAGGCTTTTCTGCAGCCGTTGGCGTGGTCTGGGTTAAATTTTAAATATTATTTGACATCCTCTGTTGCCTAAGTAAGCGGAGATGATTCAAGATCCACTCTCAGCTATCCTAAGGACCTCTTCTGAGGTTTGGGATAGTGAGTGGTTGAGAGGAAATGAGGAAAATGATGTGAAAGTCCTTTGAGAAAGGCATTGAATGGTTAGGAAATCTGCCATGATGGTGGTTGCTGCACACTGTCAGACTGTATTTCTCCAGGTAGTCAACAGAGACAGGGATAACTTTCCTCTTTTAGACCTGACTGGCATTGGCCTCTGAACTAAGACTGCTAAGTGGGAACAACTCTTCTGCTTTACCTTGCGGGATCATTTCTATTTGTGCCTGGATATACAAGTTAGGGCTGGTTTATTACACATTTAACTCCTAAGGAGGAGGCTCTGAAGTCCTTTGCCTTCGCCACACCTTCCACATTAAGGGATTTAATGGTTCTGGATTGCTGCAGTAATGATTTTCCACTGGGAAGAAGCATAATGTCTCGGGCATCGCTAGGTTCAAAATCTGCTACTGAACTATTAGCTCAGTGGTCAGGGTACCTGGGGCAAGTAAGCAAACTCTCCGTGACTTGGTTTCCTCTTCTAGCAAGAGACATAAAACTACACTGTTAACCTCTTAGACTAGCTGTTGGGACCAAAGGGAACTAACATGCTTGGGATAAAATTTGCTTGCACCATAAGTTCTCAGTAGAGGATTTGGGGGTTTTTTTTTTGGTTTGGGGGTACTGGTTGTTTGTTATTAATGTGTGTGTTTTTTGTTTTGTTTTACTATTTTCCCCCTTTCATTTGGAGGTAAGAATTGGCAATGGTTGTTTCCCAGTCAGGAGCACACGTAATCTTTGGAAGCCAAGTCACGGTCAGGAACTGTGAATAAATTCCAAAGTGAGCCATGAGCAGAATCTTAGGCTAAACAGCAGGCTAGGTAAAGAAGACCTCTCCAAACACATGACCTACCTCCAGAGTCTGGGATGAAGAGAGGCGTTAGATAGGTGCGTTAGCAGAGAAAACTTGCATGTTGAGGGGACCTAGGCGCCTGGTCAGAGGAGGAGGCTTAGGAATTCAGGTCTGAATCTATAAAACTGTCTTGCAGTGAGAACCAGTAATATCAGTCAAACCTAGGACAACCTAGAGATATCAGGCTGGGGGACTAGAGGAGGCAGGGGCCGGGAAGAGAGGCTGAGGGTGTGCATAACATGGATTATGAAGACCCAGCAGGTGTCTATAGGGACCATGTAGGTCTTTACTGACTCATTATTCTGGCTGTTAAAAGTCTTACGTCAAGTTGGTGGATGTTGAGTTGTTCTTGCCTTAAACTGACATCTTATCTGTTGTTTCTCACTTAAGGGTTTAAGGATATGTGCTTTCCACATCAGGGATGCAGCAAATTCTTTTTTGGCCCACATTTTCTTTCTTCTTCTCATTTTCTTTGCAAGATTTGCTTACCATCTGCCAATTCTCTTTACACCTTTTGACCCATCCATCTATCAAAATAAACAAAAGATGAATAAAAACAAAATACATGAAAAGAGTGAACTATTCGACAGATGTTGAAGTATTATAGTAATGATGGTTAAAGATGAACTACCGAAATGTAATGGCATTCTTGGGAAAATTAAGTCCGTCCATGTAGAAATGCTTAATACTGGTCACGACATGTACAAGATAAGAGTAGTTATCGGGGTGCCTGGGTGACGCAGTCGGTTAAGCGTCCGACTTCAGCCAGGTCTGATCTCGTGAGTTCCGGAAGTCCCGCGTCGGGCTCTGGGCTGATGGCTCGGAGCCTGAAGCCTGTTCCGATTCTGTGTCTCCCTCTCTCTCTGCCCTCCCCACATTCTTTTCTGTCTCTCTGTCCCAAAAATAAATAAAAACGTTGAAAAAAAAAATTAAAAAAAGAGCGTTATCTCCTTCCTTCAACCAGCTCTAACTGGACTTTATTTCTGTAGATGTTTTCACCTGGTTTTCAGTCTCACAACACTCGTTCCTCCTTGTCCCCAAATCTACGTGCCTGCCGAACGGACCTATACCTTTAATTTCCTGTTTTTGCCCCACTCTGTTCATTATTCACTCAACAGTGCTTTGTTGAACACCAGAGTG